GTCAACGCTTCCTGAGCCTGGTGTCTCGGTGCTTAAACCCAGGGAAGCATCAAGGTGTCACAGGTACAGGGCACCTACCTGGAGGTTGGTGAAAAAGTGTTGGTTTGGGGTTTTCTTTGCAGGAAAGATGAGATTTTTGCCACCGGTGGCATGCAGGGAGGAGAGCCTGGGGTTAAGTAAAGGTGTCATGTAGGAGTAGTCAAGGTTTCCAGAGGTCCTAAGAAATCAGTAGGGTTTTTTTTTCCCTCCTCTATGCTTCGCTACCTTGCTCTGGATTTAGATGCTGGCTTTAAATTTGAAAATAACAATCTTGGCCTTAAAAAAAATCCCAATTCCAAAACAACCGGTGCTCCAGCTGCCCGCAAACCACGGAACAGGACGTTCACCAGCCTCTGAGCTGCCCAAGGCTGGACCTCAAGTGAGTACAAGTCAGCAGAGACCCCCCGAACTCGGTTTACACCAGCTCCGGCTCAAGAGTACGGGACAGGCGCCACCTTCTTGCAAGTGCCTGCAAGACCACTCGTTCTCCTGAAGAAAGGAGGGAAGTGATGAACAGGGTGTGTGAAAGATCAGGAAAATACTCCAGGTCTTCAGCGTTTTGGCTGTGTTTTTTTTTTAAATCAAGAGGTAGAACAGACACTTCGTGCTCACGCTTGCTCTGAACATGATGCAACCGCCGCGTTACTCATCTTCAGGTGCCACCTTCCAGAGGACACTGAGGTCTTTGTTTGCTGCTGCTGAGCTTAGGGCAGTTCTCTTGTACAAAGTTCCCTGAAGATATTAAAAAATAATTAAAAAAAAACCCAAAACTTGCTTGCATTCAACATCTTACCTCCTTTGTTGCATCTTTACGCCAAGACTCAACCGACGGCACAAATCCTTCCTTCGGGCACGGTGGCTCATCTCCGCCTCGTCCAGAGAAGACAACGTTTGCTGGCGTTACAAGGAGTTAATTCTTCTCTTCCAAGGCATCATCAGCTTCAGTCACACCTTGCTTTTTCTGGACAAGCTTCACATAGTTGGAGAAAAGCTGCTAGGATCAAGCTTCCCGCTCGCAGGGTGATCTTAAGAAGCTCAGCCAGGAGCGATCAACAGCGCCCAGGAGCGAGGCTGACTCTCCAAAAGATGACTTTCACGGATGAAAGCAAAGCCCTGTTCACACCTGGGCTTCTCCAAAACAGAGGGGTTACTTCAGACCACTCTCCGTGCTGCTGGACCTGGGGCAAAGCTGGTGGGGCAGGAAGCAGAAAGCCACAGGAGAGGGGAGGTGGCCCGAAATGCTCAACTGGGTTTGCAGACTGGGGAAGCCAGGAACGGCACGGATGAAAGCAGGACTGGCCTGGTGGGTTTGGGTTTGTTTGTGCTGGATTCATGCCCTGATTTGACATTCGGATTAAAGGGTGAAGGAAGCCAAAGAATAGCCAGAACCTGACATAAAAATAAAGCAGAGGGCGTAACCCAAGCAGAGTCAGTCGAGGAGTCTCACTTAATAATACCCATGACTCAGACAGCCTCTTTCATTCCCAACAAGTCCCAAACTCTTTACAAACCCACAGGTCCTTTGGCTGCCACCGAAACAGCAAAGGCACCCAGTCCCTATAAACTAAGCGTGAATTGGGTGCTGGAGATCTCCAAGTCTCCAGCACCCAAGGGTTGTCAGACACTGGAACAGGCTGGCCCCGGGGGGGGGGGGGTGGATGTGTTTAAGAATAGGGTGGATGATCTACTTAGCGATATGGTTTAATGGGGACTAGGGACGGTTGGACTCGATGATCTCTAAGGTCTTTTCCAACCTAGAAATCTATGAAATCTATGAAGTCTTTTAATCCATGACTGAGAGAAGTCAACCCTACCTGGCCAGAGGGTACAGCACCTCATCACCCAGGTAAGATGCACAAAACTTCCAGAAGATAAAGTCCTCTTGAGACCTTTCTTATACACATGAACAATAAAACACAACCAGTGCAAAAATAACTGGAGGAAGAATCTCCTGGGGGCAGCCACAACTGTCTTTCCCAACCCATACCTGCGATGTGATGGTGCAATGAGAGACAGGTATGGTTTACTGGGATGCAGGACAGCACGTCCACAGCCTCTGGGATGTCTTGCGGGTGATCCTGAGCTGTCCAGTTCCGTGGCTCACGTCAAGCGGGGCACCGCGGCGCGACAGGTTAGCAGAAGTGGAGTGCTGGGGATGGCTCTCCAATGACCTGCCATGGCCTCTTGTACTCGTAAGTGGAGGTACTCAGCAATTCAGGGGCCAAGAGAGACCAGTGGACACCTCAGTCCTCCTCTTAAGGCAATGTTCTCTCCAAAGCTTCTAATATTCATCTTAATTTCACAGAATCATAGAATCATAGAATTTCTAGGTTGGAAAAGACCTTAGAGATCATCCAGTCCAACCGAATGGTTGGGTTGGAAGGGACCTCAAAGATCATCTAGTTCCAACCCCCCTGCCATGGGCAGGGACACCCTCCACTACACCAGGTTGCTCAAAGCCTCATCCAACCTGGCCTTGAACACTTCCAGGGATGGGACAGCCACAGCTTCTCTGGGCAATCTCAATCCCAGTTTTCACTTGCAGTTTAGAAACCCAGAAATGCACAAATAAACACCCATCGAGTCACCAACAGCCACGGCATGATCCGGCCACCCTCCTCACTACCACGGCGCACCAGGAGAGGATCTGGGTGCTGTTTTGCAGCTCGTTGGCTCTCACAGGACTTTCCTGGAACACCTCTCCCTCCGGACACGGCAGTAACATGCAGATGTCTTAAGAAAACTGGTACCTAAGGAGCCTGGCTGTTGCCACCAAATCAGCAGGACCTCTTAGAAGAGATTAAAAAACAATAAGCAAACTTTAGGACCTACCAGAGTGGTGAGTTAAAAGAGAGGAAAAAAACAAAGATGACATAAATAGGAACTTGTAGTTTTATTCTCAGTTGTTCGAGTCTTTTATTTTTACACTGGAAACTTTACCATTTTGTTATTTCACCAGCTTGGGCAATGTTAAAAAAGCAATTAACACGGGATTTGAATTGAACCAAAAGGGAAGGTTTTCACCCTACCTTACTAAAAAGGGCACTTTCCTAATACGTATTTATCTGTAAGGACATGCATTTTGGGCAGAGGAAGCTTTTTCTTGAAAGATACAATACAAAACCTTTATCCTGTCAATCACAGAGATGAATCCCACACTAAACATCTCTAGGGCTTCCCTGAGCTTCTGGGTAATTTCACATTTCGGATACTTTAAACACTAAAATCAGAGAGAATTATAAACAGACAATCCCTCAAAGAGCAGGATCTCGAAAATTTTTCAGTCCTGTTCTAGATGATACGGCACAGCAAAAAAAATCCAAAACAACAACAACAAAAGGGTATGGGGGGGAATGAACCTAACCAAAAATTTTAAAAAATTAAGTGATTTGCTGGTCACCATTAAAGTGCATTCAGCTCCACGTCAGCTCTTTAACCCTGTGCTTGTGCTATTTTCCCCCTCCCTCCCGATGCTGAGGCCCGTGAGATCTTGCAGGCAGCAGGCAAGCGACCGTTTGCTCCCAAGTGTTAGTTCACAGCATGAAGGATGTTGAGAGACCCGAGTTGGCTTGATGCCACCTTTGACAGCAGATTTTGTGACATTTGCTGTCACTGAGAGGAGGAATTCGTTCTCATCACAGTGCTAAGACTCGCCATGGGGACATCAGGGAGCTCCATCCTCTTTGTACCATGTAGCCTGGAGGTTACTGCCTCCAGACAACATGTGATGTCTCATCTGGAAGGCAGACAACAATTTTGGCTCTGCTCATACAAATGTCACCCTGAAGGTTTACATCACCGAAGCGACAAAGCTGCAGTCCCACCAGCTGAAGCCAAAGCACTCGAGCACAGCACCCAGCAGCACATGGCTCAGGGCTGGTTCCCACTGCCAACCTCTGGAGAGGCTCCAGCACTGGGAAAGAAACTCAGAGGGGTAAAAATAAAAATTGCAAAACCCAAGGCAGAGCCCAGCCTTCCTATTGCCTTTCCCATGTGGGTACACACCACTGGGATCTGCTGCACTGCTACACAAGGGACGTACCCTCACCGTACTTCAGGCACCAGCGGGCAGCAGCTCCACCACTTACTGCACATCAAACCCACAGAGCGGCTGCAGCGGCTCGGAGCGAGTGGAGAAATATTCTTTGGGACCAGCCATCAGGAGGGAAGCATCCTTGGATGTGCAGAGAGACCTGCTTCCTGCTCAGGCTTGAAAATTAGACATGGTGATGCCCCAGAGGAACCCTACAGTGAGAGCTGGCTCACCTCCAGCGAGGAAGGCGCACGGGCAAAGTCAACCCTGATCTGGCAGCAGTTTGTCCTCACTGCTGGTGTTGAGCCAAAGCTGCAGATGTCCATGGAAAGTCAGTAACTGGCTGCTGTGCCAGTCCTGAGCTGGCTGGGGACTCAATTTGCTTCCAGCTAGAGCACACAGGTCTCTCGAGCCTCGTCCCTTGGCATCAGACAGTTGTCACTCGAGTTAGGAACACAGAGGTGGGATCCAGCGCTCCCACTGCAGAAACACAGCTGTCCGTATCCGAGGGTATCTCCTCGACATCCCTTTGCAGTCAGCGGAGACAGGAGCTCCCGAAGAATACTGCATCATCCCAGCACGGGCATCTACAACAGGAGAGATGAATCATGCTCCAGAGGTATCTGTTTCTCTGCACTGACTGCAAAGGGAGCCTGGCTGGGTCCTATGGACATGTCTTTAGGCTAGAGACAGGAAAAATTAGGCAAAATTAATCCCGCTCAAAGAGCGAGGGTGACAGCCTCGAACACAGCGACGGTCTAACGGGTCACCCCAGGAGAGGTTCCAGCTTGCCTGAGCCCGTCTTTGCCCACGGAGAAGAGGAAGGGCTGTGAAGTGCTGCCTCATAAATACTATTTACACCAGTTTGCTTAAATTAAAATTAGCTTCTTGCGGGGAGGTAGAAGAGAAAGAGATAGATACTTGGTACTGCAGGAGCTACAGGTATTGTCCTTCCCGGTCACCTTCGCCCCCATCAGTTGTAGGACAGGTACTGGATCAGTCGTGGAGGAATATTGAGCTTGGCAATCTTCTCCAGCGCCCGCTGCCCAGCGGCTTTCCTCACCGTAACTCTGCAGAGCTGCGACAAACTCAGAGGCGTTTCTAAAACCAGAAAAGAGGATCCAAAGTCAGGGCTGCAGCTCAGCCGACGGCCGAAGTCGCCCAGGGGGGTGATGCCTGGCACCGTCCCTGCCGCCATCGCGAGCCGGGCTCTGCTTGCAAGCGCTCGACTGACCTCCTGCAGCACGCAAGCCCAAGGGAAGCACTGCGGAGCCACGGGCGTGCTCTCTCAAGGCTCATCCCAATACAAATCCCACCAGAAATACTAAGCTTCTCCCAGCTCCCTTCCCCGCCTGCATCCCCTGAAGCCCAGCAGTGCCCACTGAATCACCTGCTCTGATCCACTGGGACTACCTAAAACTCAGATTTCCATTAATAATCATAGAATCATGGAATGGTTTGGGTTGGAAGGGACCTCAAAGATCATCCAGTTCTAAACCCCCTGTCATGGGCATGGACACCCTCCACTACACCAGGTTGCTCAAAGCCCCATCCAACCTGGCCTGGAACACTTCCAGGGATGGGGCAGCCACAGCTTCTCTGGGCAACCTGGTCCAGTGCCTCACCACCCTCTGATGTTTAGGATCACCTAGTGCAGCAGCAGTCTGCAAATGCTCAGAAGGGTCTGTGAATTACTGCTCAGAAGGACCTGTAAGGGTCACCAAGAGAAAGATTTAAAGCCATCCTCAAAGCTCAGCCAAACGTCTCCTCCAAAGGCAGACAGTCAGCACGGCTAAAGTTTAACGCGCTCCCTGTGCCAAATAAAACAAGTTTTAAACTGGGTGATCTCCTTGACCTGACTTAATGCACCAAAGCATAAACACCGATGCTGACGCACGAGAGAGACTGGAATTGGACCATCTCACCACTGTCATTCAACCACTAGCAAAGCAGAGCTAGGCTACAGCCAGCTGGCACACATTTGCCACCAAGAACTACTCTACACCTTCACTTGAAGATGATCAGGGATCCTCAAATCAAAGCAGACTGAGAATCGTGACGTGGCGCAATGCAGTTGGCAGTCACCAAATTCCCGGGGCAGGAGATCATCCCTCACTTACTTTCGTAGAACTCAAAGCACTTTGCTGTGGGACTGCTGCTCCAGGTGTAATCCGACGGCTTCTTGCCTCGGTTGTCCCTTGCGTAAATGTTTCCTCCAAATTCAATCAGCATCTCCACCAGGTCGACGTTTTTCACTTTTGCTGCGTGGTGGAGGGCTGTCTCGTGGAGTTTAGCAGCGTTCACATTTGCCCCTGAGGACAGAAAGGAAAACAAGTCTCTTCATGAAAGCCTCGCTTGACCCAAACGTACGGAGTGGTCTGACTGGAGAAAAAAAACACTGTTAAAACACACACGAGCAGCCAGAACAAGATCCAAACAAAACAGCACAAACAGGAAACCAAACAGCTGGACGAGTTCTTGGTGCTGGCAACGCATGAGTTTTCTTCTCTGGTTTTATGTTTTCCTTGCAGAGAAAGGATTTCAGTCCATGTTACCGGAGAAATAAGCTGCTGAGTGTGATGTTCAGAACTGCTTCCTGAATCTCTGCTGGCCAAAGCCAGCACAGGGCCATTCCCAGTCATCTCAGTGGAGCATTCCCACTCAAGGCAAACGGGGACAACTTTGTTTTAACAGAAATACCCCAGACCCAGGAGATGTTGCAACTCGCTGTCAGACACTACTGCAGGATCAAGTTTTCGTTACAGATATTTTTGCTAAGAAAGTTTGGCTTTTTTAAGGTTACTGCAAAAGGACCTTCTCGTACCCCAACTGCTCACATTTTACTAACTGACTCGTTCAGCAGAGGTGAGATGAACCTCACGGAATTCAAACAACTGACTTTTAGATACACGTGGCCACACTGAACTCCCCTTTACAATTAACGAGGAGAAACAGGCATTTCTGAGGAACCAGTCAATGGGTGCCCAAGACAGGCAACTGGGGTGGCTGGAAACAAGCTAGCTTAGATGTGTCATTTTTAGACAACTAATGTTCAACGAAACAAATCCCCAATCCTGGGTCAAATCGCCTCCTGGTAAGCACAAGCAAAGACAAGAATCACAGAATCACAGAAGGGTTTGGGTTGGAAGGGACCTTAAAGATCATCCAGTTCCAACCCCCCTGCCTTGGGCAGGGACACCCTCCACTACACCAGGTTGCCCAAAGCCCCATCCAGCCTGGCCTGGAACACTTCCAGGGATGGGGCAGCCACAGCTTCTCTGGGCAACCTGTGCCAGTGCCTCAGCACCCTCAGAGGGAAGAATTTCTTCCTTAGATCTAATCTAAATCTCCCCTCTTTCAGTTTAAAGCCATTGCCCCGTGTCCTGTCACTACACGCCCTTGTCCAAGTCCCTCTCCAGCTTTCTCGTAGCCCCTTTAAGTACTGGAAGGTGCTGGAAGGTCTCCCCGGAGCCTTCTCTTCTCCAGGCTGAACAGCCCCAACTCTCCCAGCCTGTCTCCATAGCAGAGGTGCTCCAGCCCTTGGATCACCTTCGTGGCCTCCTCTGGACCCACTCCAACAGCTCCATGTCCTCCTTACGTGCTGGAGACCTCAGAGCTCAACGTGGTAGTCCAGGTAGGGTCTCACAAGAGGACAGTAGAAGGGGAGAAAAAGATCAACTCCAAATTCCCCCAAAAGTTAGCAGCAGGAAAACTGGGATGTGAAACCTGGAACACAGAACATTGACTTGAACATCCAGCAAACTCATCTGGTCATAACACTAACCAGATCTCCCTGAGGTATGAAGTGACTTCATCTCTGGTTTTCTGTACAACATCAAACCCTAACACCTCTCCCTAACACCTATCCAAAATCATACAATCATAGAATCATAGAATCACAGGATGGTTTGGGTTGGAAGGGACCTCAAAGATCATCCAGTTCCAACCCCCCTGCCATGGGCAGGGACACCCTCCACTACACCAGGTTGCTCAAAGCCTCATCCAAATCCTGTACGACTGTGCTACCAAAGATGAACACACGCACACCAGTTGATACCACTTTGGGGAAGAAATTGAAACTTTGTTCTAGGGTGCTGAAGAGTTCTGAATTTTATTAAAATAAGATAATGGGAATGTCACTGATGGAGAACATCACAAACTGGATATTGACTGGCACACGCTGAGAAAATGCTTAAGCATTAAGTTTTGCTCAGGTAGAGGGAAAACCTTTCACCTTTGTCATCTACGTCATGCTGTGAATGAAGTTCTTCCTCGAGAAAGCTGCACACGGACACCACCACATACTGCCCACCCAGAAGCAAACCCCATGGTAGTCATACCTGCCTTGAGCAGCAACTTCACACAGTCCAGATGCTCCCTGGCACAGGCCACGTGTAGGGGCGTCCCGAAATGGCAGTCGTGAGCCTCCAAGTTTGCACCGACATCGATGAGGAGTTGCACACACTCCGAGCTACCTTCAGAAAGGGAAGGTCCGAGTCAAAAGAAAGAATCCAGCTCAAACAGGAGCATATGGCATGTTGAGATCAGCTTGATCTACAAACAGCTTGTTTAATATTTGGGGTGACGCTGCAAAATAGAAACGTTTGTGAGCCAACACAACACACTGTAGGACTGAGCCCAGGACACAAGAAACTGAGTCACATCTGCCCAGCACTGAGCCAGAGCAGGAAGTCATAGAATCATAGAATGGTTAGG